CTCTCTCACACCCAAACCTCCTCATTCTCTGCATCCTCCTCTTCATCCTCCTCTTCCTCCTCCTGTCCCCCTCCCCGTGGTGTCCCCTGTAACCCCTCCCCTGTCCCCACAGATGGGTGGCAGTGGCGGCAGCTTCACCCCCGCTCCCAACACCGCGGCGCCCACAAACGTGGGGGCACCCCTTGGCACCGGCCTGGGTGACCTCTTCGACCTCACCGGAGGGGTGGGGACCCTCTCAGGATCCTACGTGGCCCCCAAAACGGTGAGTGGGGCAGGCAGGCTCGGGGCTGAGGGGGGCACAGACCCCCGTGCCCACCCCCCACAGCAGAGCCTCCCCTGGAGGAGGTGGGGGAGCACCAGAGGGTCTGTTGTGGGTGACACCCCAAGGGTTTCCTGTCTCCCTGAGCCAGGTGTGGCTCCCTGCCATGAAAGCCAAGGGGCTGGAGATCTCTGGCACCTTCAGCCGCCAGGTGGGCTCCATCTCCATGGACCTCGTGCTGACCAACAAAGCCCTGCAGGTCATGTCTGACTTCGCCATCCAGTTCAACCGCAACAGGTGAGTCCCACCTGGGCTGGGGTCTCCTGGGACCCCTGGGGATGCTGCCCGCAGCAGTTCTGTGTGGAAAGGGTGTGAGGAAGGAGCTGCAAGGGCTGGGAACAGCCTCTGGTGATGACCCTTCTCTCTCTGATGGCTGTGGTGGTGATGAGCATCAAACCAAAGCCTCTAAGAAGTTGGCTGAAGAGGCGGTTCCTCAGGGGTCTGATCGTTGTCCTGCTGTTTGTCCTGAGGAACTGATGCTCCCTTTTTCCTCAGAGGCGCTGGGGGAATGCTGCAGGAATGCCACAAATGGATGCAGGAGGAATGGGGGAGATCTTGGGGTTTCCCCAGGGTGGCCAGGGCAGGAACCAGCCCGGTCCTGGACAGTGCTGGGGCAGCAAGGCAATTCCTGGGAGGCCACTGGAGGAGGGCAGGGAGCGCCAGGGCTGGATGGATGACACCCTGTGCCATCACCTGCTGTCCCCACCCTGACCCCCTGCCCTCCCTGGTGTCCCCCAGCTTCGGCCTGGCCCCAGCAGCTCCTCTGCAGGTGCACGCGCCTCTGGCTCCCAACCAGTCCGTGGAGATCTCCCTGCCCCTGAACACCGTGGGCTCCGTCATGAAGATGGACCCCCTCAACAACCTCCAGGTGGGGAACACGGGGGTGTCCCCTCCTGGGGAGCTGGGGGTGGGCAGGGTCCCTTGGAGAATCCCCAGGGAGGTGTGGCAGCAGGAGCCAGGTGCTTTCTGCAGTGACACCTGGCTCCGCAGGGATGGGACGGGACATTTTGGGAGCCTGCTGTGGGTTGGAGGTGTTGAAATCCCCGTGTCCTTCCACCCCAGGTGGCGGTGAAGAACAACATTGACGTCTTCTACTTCAGCACCCTGTACCCCCTGCACATCCTGTTCGTGGAGGATGGCAAGATGGGTGAGTTGTGTGACCATGGCTCCAGCCAGGTGCGCTCTGTCACCTGTCCCTAGGTGCCATCCCAGCCCCTGGAACCTTCTTGATCACACGGGCTGAGCCCCCAAAGGCAGGTGGCTGCCCTGAGCCTGCCCTTGGGGAGCTGCTGGAGGGGGTGGAAGGGTGACATGTCCCTGTGTCATGTCCCCTGTGTCACCTTTGGGGGTGGCAGCTCCCTCAGTGCTGGTGTCCTCCCTCCCTGCAGAGAGGCAGATGTTCCTGGCCACATGGAAGGACATTCCCAACGAGAACGAGACCCAGTTCCAGATCAAAGACTGTTCCCTCAATGCAGGTGGGTCCCACCCCTCGGAAGGACCCGGCTCAGGTCCTGTCCCCAAGTGTCACATCCACGTGGCTGTTAAATCCCTCCAGGGTGGGGACTCCAGCACTGCCCAGGGCCATCCTCACCCTCCTTTCCATGAGGAAATTTTCCCCTAATGCCCAATCTAAGCCTCTTCCATGACAAGGAGGGGAGGAGATGGGGCAGGAGCAGGTCCAGGGGGAGCAGGGGGTCAGCCCAGCCCCTCAGCCCCTCTCTCCCATCCCAGATGCTGTGAGCAGCAAACTCCAAGGCAGCAACATCTTCACCGTTGCCAAGAGGAACGTGGAGGGCCAGGACATGCTCTACCAGTCCCTGAAGCTCACCAACGGCATCTGGGTGCTGGCAGAGCTCCGGATCCAGCCCAGCAATCCCAACTTCACGGTACATCCCATCCCAACCCCCTGGGGCAGCTCCCTGCCTTTCCCTGCCCCGAGCTGGGGGCACATCCCTGCTGCTGGGACCTCCCCAGCTGCTGGAGGTGCTGGTGCCAGCCCCGCTGTCCCTCTCTCGTGGGGAGGGTGACACTGCTCCTGTGGGGACAGCTGAAGGACACAGAGGGCTCCCAACCCACCCAGCTCCATTAAACCCCGTCCTCGGAGCATTCCCTGAGCAGGGATCTATCCACACCTCATCCATGAGCCATCCCGGTGTCCCGCTGTCCCTGTCCCCTCCCCACCTCGCTGGCAGCCTGTTCTCTTTGGGGTGGGACGAGCTGTGTCACCCTGACTCCTCTCTCTGTGTCTCCGTCCCCGCCGCCCGCCCGCCCTCGCCGGCCTGCCCGCTCTTGCAGGATCTGGAGGTTAGAGACTGGATTTTCCCTGGCTTTGGGCTCTCCCTGGCTGCTGCCTGGATGTTCCTTCCTCCCCCGATGTTTTTCCCTGCCCTGGCGGTCTCCTGGTGCCTCCTGCCTCTCCTTCCCAGCAGGGCAGGCACAAGGAGGGTTGGGATGTCCCCTCCTGGTTTCACCGGGGACGAGGACAGCTACAGATCCTTATCCCAGGGGGTTCTCCATGAACCTTCCGTGCTTGAGGAGCTAATTGATTTTGGAATGGTTTAATATTTAAGCAAACACCTGAAGGGGCTTGTTCCTCTTCAGAGAGGAGGATCTTTTTGGGGAACCCGTCACCCTGGAGTGCTAGGCACTGAATCCAATCCCAAAAGCTGGAGTGTTGCCCCTGCCTGTTCCCTGCCTGTGCTGCATGTGGATGGCTCTGCCCTGGGAGGGCTTGTAGGGGTTTAAGAACCTTTTTCCAGCTGAAATCAGGAGCTGGGCTGTCCTGTGGGAGGGTGCTGCAGCATGCAGGGCTCTGCTTTAGGGCTGGTGGCTCTCCAGCACGGGATGGGATGCCATGACCCCGCTCTTCCCTCTCTCCCCACAGTTATCCCTGAAATGCCGAGCACCAGAGGTGTCCCAGTACATCTACCAGGCCTACGAGACCATCCTGAAGAACTGAGGTGCTGCTGCAGCCCCTCCTCCTCCTCCTCTCCTCCCTTTCCCGCCCGAGGAAGCAGGGCCGGATCCGTGTGCATGTCCCCTTTCCTTCCTGCCCAGGATCCAGTCCCTGGGATTCTCCCTGTCCTGGTGGGGCTGGGGGGGGCGGGGGCTGTCCCCAGTCCCTGCATCCCTGTAGCAATCTGTGTGTGAGCAATTCCGTGTCCTCCCAGCTGCTGATGCTCCCTCCAGATCCCGGTTTCACCCTCGGGCTGGGAGCTCCCCAAACTCCTGCTCCTGGCTCTCATGGAGTGGTCTCTGGTGGTGGGTTCAGCTCTCCAAACCCTGGGAATAGCGGCTGGGGGGAGCCCAGAGTGCTGTGGGATTAGGTGGCTCTGGCTGCAGATCCCCCTGGAGCTCTGGGATTTGGGGCAGGAGCAGGTGGGAAACAGCTTTGGCTCCTTCACAGCGGCTCTCCTTCCCATGGGAGCCCTTCCCAAAGCTCCCAGAAGGGCTTGAGGATCCCAAATTTGAGGCTGTACTTAATGTGATGGTTAAAAAGGGCTTTCCCAGCCCCCTCCAGCACCTGCCACGGGGCCGGGAGGGCTCTGAGCCCCTGGCCCTCTGCCCAGCCCCACGGCTCCCTCTGCTCCCCCCAGCACCCCTGGGTGCTCCCCTGGGGGTCCCACTGCTCCTTTCTCCCCAAATCAAGCCATGGGTCCCCCCCTCCCTCGAAGCAGGAAATCTCTAATATATGAAAGATAAATATATTGTAACGTTCAGTGGTGTGAAGGGAATGTTGGACAGAGGGGACAGCGGCCCAAGGGGGCACCGGGGTGGCCGTGGCCTGGTGACCCCGAGGGGACCCTGGAGCTTCCTGCCAGCCCTGCAGGGGCAGATAAACCTCACTGGGGCCAGTGGCCTCTGGCACAGCAAGGCCTGACACAGCACAGGGGCTGGGCCTGTGGGCCAGGGACACAGCGCCTGTCACCCCTTGGGGACAGCATGGGCCTGGAGAGCTCTTGGCTCTGCTCCTGGAGCCTCCCAGGGATCCACCAAGGACAAGCTGGCCCTGCACCCCCTACAGGCTCTGGGTGCCCTGAGCCCCTCTGGGGGTTGGGGACACCCATGGGGTCCCAGGAGGTGCTGCTGGCCCCTGGCAAGGATGGGCAGCACCACCGAGTCCTGCTCTGAGACACCCCACAAGTCACTGGAGCTGCTCTGGGACACCCCACAAGTCACTGGAGCTGCTCTGAGACACCCCACAAGTCACTGGAGCTGCTCTGAGACACCCCACAAAGCACTGGTGCTGCTGTGGGACACCACACAACTCACTGGAGCTGCTCTGGGACACCCCATGGGCCACCAGCACCACTCTGGGGCTGGACAGCAGCCCCACCCCAGAGGGAGGAGAAGCAGGGCAGGTGTCCAGGGACCACAGTGGACACCCTGCTCTGGAACCCCCAGTCACAGCAGGGCTGGTGACCAGAACCTGCCCAGCCCTCGGAGCGTGGCCGTGTCCCCCTGGGCCAGCAGCCCTGAGGTGAAGGTCCCTGGCCATGGGGCACTTTGGGCTCCAGGAACAGCTCTGGAGGGGTGCCAGTGGCTGCAGTGGGTACAGACATTGGGATGCAGCCTCACCTCAGCTCTTCACTGCTCCCACCCCTCCTGGGACCCCCAGAGCCTTCCCCCCTTGGGCCGGGGGGTCTGCATCCCCCTGGACAGATGAGCAGACAGGGTGGGCTCAGCTCCGTTGGTCTTTACTGGCTGGAGAGGACATGCAGGGCCACAGGGGTGGGGGCCACGGTGGCCTGGGCTGGGGACACAGCCCTGTCCCACCCTGGGGACATCAACACGAGCTGTGGGCAGTGCTGTGGCCAGCTGGGGGCTGGAGAGGGAGGAGTGACCCCCCCTGCCCTGAAATAGGGGTAGTGGTGACCAACATGTCCCAAAGTCATCCCAGGGGTGGGGAGAAGAGACTGCAGAGATGAGGAAGTGGCCAAGGAGGTGATGACAAGAGGCCAAGAAGAAAAGAGGGGAGGGTCAAGAAGAGAAGATGATGAGGGACAAGGAGGTGAAGGCCAAGAGGAGAGGAGGAGGAGGCAGCCCAAGAGAAGAGAGAGAAGATGAGATGAGGAGGATGACAAGAAATAGCGAGGAGAAGACAAGAAAAGGTCAAGATGATGAAAACAAGTGAAGAATGAGAGATGAAGACCAAGAAGGGAAGAACCGAGTGCTCTCCAGCCCCGTTCCCAGGTGCCAGCTCAGCCCCCGCTGTGGAGCTGCTCCCCATGGCCTGGGGACACCTCTGGCACCCTCTGGGCCTGGCTGGGGGCTCCTTGCAGGTCCCACCCCAATGCCAACAGCCACCAAGTGAAGAGGTCCTGGCCACCCCAGCTCTGTGGCCATTGCCTGGCCGGGCACCTCCACACAGGAGCCACCTCAGTCCCCCCGCAGCAGCTCGGGGATGTCCCCAGGAGCCACCAGGAGTTGCCATGGCCATCGACCCCTCACGGCCACGCGTTCTCCTCCAGCCCCCCGCGCTCCCGCGGGTTCCAGGGGGGCTCCAGGAGGGAGGGGGGGACGCTCTGCAGAGCCCCCCAGGCCCTGGGGCTGCCGTTCGGGGCCCGCTGGGCGCCTGTCCCGTAGCCCCGGGGCGTGGGGATCCGGGACGGCGCCTTGTGGGGCTGCGTGTCCAGCCGGGGCTTGGCCCAGGGCCGCGGAGGGGGCCCGGGGGTCTCCTCCATCTCCATCAGCTCGTCCTCCCCGGTCGCCCAGTCGGTGTCGGAGCCCGGGTTCCCCGCTGTCTCCCGGTTGTCCCAGGAGGCCGGGAAGCAGCAGCTCTCGTCGGAGGAGCTGGAGAAGGTGGAGCGGCGCCTCGCATCTGCCAGGGTGGGGTTGGAGGGCAGCGGGGGGCAGCCGCCGTTGTTCCCGTTGTTCCCGTTGTTGTTCCCGTTGTTGTTCCCGCTGTTGTTCCCGTTGTTGTTCCCGTTGTTGTTCCCGCTGTTGTTCCCGCTGTTCCCATCGCTGTTCCCGCCCCGCCGCCCGTCCTCGGCGGGCAGCCCGTGCTTGGCGAAGACGTTCAGCGAGGAAGACGAGGATGACGAGGAGCAATAGGCCGAGTCAGCGGTGGCGGGGGGCCCGGGGGGAGCGCTCTCCGTGTCCCCCAGCTGCTCCAGCAGCCGCGTGTTGGCCAGGAATTCCTCCTCCAGCCGCTGGAACAGCCGCTGCTCCTGCCCGGGCTCCAGCCAGCGCGGGGCCCGCAGCCTCCTCGCCAGCTCCTCGGGGTCCCCGGGGCCGGGCCGGGGGTCGCGCCGCCCCCCGGAGCCCCCAGCGGGGCCGGTCCCGGCCGTGGGGGGCTCCGGCCGTGCCCACGAGTGCTGCCCGTCGGGCCGGCGGCGGATGAGCAGCAGCGGAGCGGGGCTGCGGGAGGAGCGGGGGGAGCCTCGGGGGGACGCGGGGGCGCGGGGGGCTCGGGGGGAGCCCGGCGGGCCGGGGGGGTCGGCGGGGTCCCGGCGGGCCGGGGGGCGGCGGGGGCCGCTCTGCGCGGACGCGGCCGAGGAGTCGCTGTCGCCCGAGCAGCGCCGGGAGCGCGCCGGGGCGCGCGGCCTGGGGGGCGGCGGGGGGGGACAGGGGGGGAATGAGCACCCCGGTGTCCCCCCCAGGGCACCCCCCAACTGCACAGCATCCACGAACCCCCTCCCCCCAGTGATACCCCCCATCGCACCCCTCCTCATGGAACCCCCCCAGCGCCCCCACCCATCGCACCCCACATTCCCTCCATTGTACCCCATTGCACCCCTTCATTCTCCCCCCTTTTGCCCCCATTTTTCCTCACTGCACCCCACATTCCCCCCCTTAAACCCCATTTCCACCCTCACTGCACCCCCACTGAACCCCACCTTGCCACTATTGAACCCCATTTCCCTTGCTCCCCATTAAACCCCCCCCCACCCAACCCCCCCCCCTCC